TCGCTCGGACGCTTCAAGGACGTCCCTGTGCGCAAATCTGCGCCCCGTTCAGGCGGATGTTAAAGAATTCCCGCAGCGCTGTCGGGGGGTGGGGGGGGGGAAGAGACTGGAATTTCTCTCTCCCTGTGTTCTGGCTGACAATATTCTTCCCCCCGGGGGGGTGGGGTGGTGTTTGTGGGACGCAATTGGCTGCCGCGTTCTGCCCACGCAATATGCAGTCACTACGCTCCACGGTATATTCTGGGAAGCGCTTTCCGACGTCTCGAAGACGTGGATAAAAGGCGCTGTGTCGAGTGCAAAGGTCGTCGTTGTTGTGCGGTGATGGGCTGAGAGTGCAGAGTGCAGTCAGCGACGTTTGTCTGAGATGGTTTGTGATCGATGGGAATCAACGAGTGGCATTGACTGCAGTGAATACACGAACCCTTTTCTCCGCCACCATCGCCGGTTGCCTTGACAACGTCTCCATCGGAGGCTGTAGGTCTCTGGCAAATGTGCTCGTTCCCTCCCATCGCCCTTTTTCTTTCTCGCTCCTGCTGCATGTCTCTCTCTCTCTCTCTCTCTCTCTCGCTCCCTCACTCTCTCTCTCCCTCTCTCTCACTCCTGCTGATGATGGGAGGACGGGGAGGGGGGGGTGGAGGAGAAGGGGAGATTCCCACAATGTGTCGCTTGCCCCAGCGCTGCGCTGCGCTGGAGTGTGGCCTGAGCTGTGAGCTGTAGTTTCTGTCTGTCTGTGTGCCTGTGTCTGGCTGTCTGTGTGCCTGTGTCTGTCTGTCTGTGTGCCTCTGTCTGTCTGTCTGTCTGTCTGTCTGTCTGTCTGTCTGTCTGTCTGTCTGTCTGTGTGCCTGTGTCTGTCTGTCTGCCTGTGTGCCTCTGTCTGTCTGTCTGCCTGTGTCTGTCTGTCTGTGTGCCTCTGTCTGTCTGTCTGTCTGTCTGTCTGTCTGTCTGTCTGTGTGCCTCTGTCTGTCTGTCTGTGTGCCAGTGTCTGTCTGTCTGACTGTCTTGTGTGCCTGTCTGTCTGTCTGTCTGTCTGTCTGTGTGTCTGTTTGTGTGCCTGTGTCTGTCTGCCTGTCTGTCTGTCTGTCTGTCTGTCTGTCTGTCTGTCTGTCTGTCTTCTGTCTGTCTGTCTGTCTGTCTGTCTGTCTGTCTGTCTGTCTGTCTGTCTGTCTGTCTGCCTTTCTGTCTGTCTGCCTGTCTGTCTGTCTGTCTGCCTGCCCGCCTGCCTGCCTGTCTGGCTGTCTGGCTGCCTGTCTGCCTGTCTGTCTGTCTGTCTGTCTGTCTGTCTGTGTGCCTGTGTCTGTGTGTGTGTGTGATTGTCCATGTGAAAGGGTGTGTGTGTGTGTGAATTAGATGTTGCTGTCCGGAGGCAGGAGGGAGGAACTTGCTGTCAGAAACCTCTCCAGTGCCTGAGGGGGTGATGATATCAGCAGATATTTGAAGAATTTTGACATTAAACATTTACAGCAAATCGAATCCTCCCAGAATCCTGGGCCGCACAACAATAAATTATATGTGTATAGATAGAGTCTTTCATGTCGGGAGAACATCTCTATCCACTCACATACTCTCCTTGGCTCTGTTATATGGAAACGAGCCATGAGCCATAACCCATTCGCCAGTCGATTTCAAATCCCTTCATGCCCTCGCCCCTCCCTACCTCTCTGATTTGCTTCCCCCCCCCCCCCCACCCTCCCCATCATCACCCCCTCTCACTCCACCTCCCGCTGCCTCTGCTCGGCCGGCTCTGGCCTCCCTCTCCTCCCCCCCCCCCCCCCCAACCCCTCCAACCCCTGTGCTCTCAGCCACTACGCCCTGAACCTCTGCATCTCTCTCTCCCTCAATCCCTCCGCTTTACTCCCTCCCTCCCTCCCTCCCCTCCTCTGTCTGTCTCCCTGACTGTTCAGCTCCTTGGGACGTCCTCCTGACATGAAATGCGCTGCGTAAATGTCATTTTGTGTTGTGCTTACGGTCACTGCCCCCCCCCCCCCCGCCCCACCACCCTCTCTCCCCCCTCCTTCCCTCTCTCTCCCCCCCGGCTCGGGGTCAGACTCCGCCACGGTCAAGCGCCTCAGGTCGCCACCCCGCGTGAAGGGCGCTGTGTAAACGCAACTTGTTGTGGTTGATAAAGCTCCCATGGCACGACTTGAGAAGAGAGTTTAAAATCAGTCGTTGGCTTCACGCCCGCTTGTGAGACGTCACAGCCATGAAATGAGTGACCGACGCTTAATAATAATACTAATAACAAATTGGTCACATCAATCCACGGCTGTTTGTGGGGACGCTGCGGTGCGCAATTGGCTGCCGGCTTTTCGCCCACAACACATACAGTCGATTCACTTTACAGTGTATCCTGCGAAGCGCTTTGAGGCGTCTCGAAGACGTGATGAAGGCTCTGTATCAAACGCCAGGATTATTGTTGTGATACGGGCGGATTGTTGGCCAGACACAGGAACAGAGAAACTCCCTTTCTCTTTCCCGATAGCTTCACAAATGTAATGGGGTTTTAAACATCCACCTCTACCGAGATGGGTGGGGTGTAGGGAGGCTCAGTTAAAGGCACTTCCGACAGTACGCCTCGCTTCTTTTCCCCCCCCACTCTCCCCCTCAACCCCCGCCCCCATGTCTGTATTGTTTTTGAAACACTGACAATGTGAGTCAGGGAAGGAAGGCAGTCAACAGGCTGGTGTGATGGCAGGCAGTGTGTGTTCTGACCTGCCCAAGCTGGCCTGCATTCCCTGGAATGTATTTTTCTGCTATGGGCGAGACTCTGTGATCGAGCGGGTGTGTGTGTGCGCATGTGAGCAAGTGTGCGTGTGTGTATATGCGCGAGAGGTAGGGAGAATGTGTGCTTGTGTGTGAGAGCGAGAGTGTGTGTGGCGTTGAGAGTGCCTGAGTGTGTTTGTGTGAGAGTGCGAGCGTTTTGTGTGTGAGTGTGTGTTTGTGAGAGATTGAGAGTGTGTGTGTGTGAGCTCGTCTTTCGACCATGCTTTCGGTCACCCTCCTACCCCTACCCTCCCCGCCCTCCTGATCCCCACCCGCGGCTCGGGTCCAAATCCCTGACTGTCCAGCGCCTTGGGACGTCCTCCCGACGTGAAAGGTACCGGATCAATGTGATTTGACATTGGTTTGAGGAGCAGCCCAGACAGGGGGAGTGGACAGGAGTACACACACACACCTTCCCTCCCCGCTCCCACCGTGACATAACCCAGAACCTGTTGTTCAGGTCGCTGTTGTTTCAAAGCCTGTATTTCGTGGCATGTCATAGCTGGAGAGAGAGGGAGTGGGAGGATGGTGGGGTGGGGAGAAGGAGGGTAGTGTTGTCAGCGGGTGCTAATGGTGCTGGGGTCAAGAATTTCCCCAATCACCTGCTGGGGAGTTTCCTGGAAAATTACCCATGGAGGAGTAGGTAAAATCCCTGTCATTCCCTCCCCACGGAAACCACAGAACCTCATATTACATCAACATCCCTGGGGAGTGGGCTGTTAAACCAAGTCTCTCCCCCTCCCCTCTCCCTGCCCGTGACATAGAATCTCTTTCACAGACTAGACTGTAAAGTGAATGAATTGACTGTATAATAATAATAATCCTTGCATTTGATATAGCGCTTTTCACGTCGGGAGGACGTCCCAAAGCGCTTCACAGAACACACTGTAAAGTGAATTGACTGTATATATTTCTTGGGCGAAACGCGGCAGCCAGTTGCGCCCAGCAGCGTCCCCACAAACAGTCGTGGGTTGAGTGACCACAGTTATTATTGATGGAAGGGATTATTGCCGAAGGTAAAGCGATCCACCAGTCCTCTAACAACCGGGTTCCCGCTTACTGCTCGGTAAACAGGGGCGTGTGTGGGGAGTAAGGAAACTTGCCCAGGTCCTCTGGCTTGCGAGTCGTGTGCTCTAACCCCAACACAATAGGACTTATTATTATTATTGTCAGAGTAATGATGATGATGGAGAAGTCTTGCCGAATAGGAGGTTAAACGGATAAAGTAACAGTGGAGGGAGGAGAGGCGCCTATCACCTGTGAGGTCAGGTTGTCTGTCCTATTAATAGCTCGGGCTATAAATAGTCAGAAGAGTCAACTGCTCAGGTTACCTCTACCCTGACCTTCGCACCTCCACACACGTTGCCCTCGTTGTAGTTCATAAGAACTTGGCAGGAGGTGGCCATTCAGTCCCTCGAGCCTGTTCATGGCTGATCTGTACCTCAACTCCTTATTTTCCCACATTTGCTCCATATCCCTTGATGGAAGGGTCAGGCGTTGAGCTTTTTTTTAAAAAATATATTTTTACAGACGTGAAAGATGCTTTACAAAGGTAATTTTGTTGTTGTTGTACGGATGGAAGAAGGTGGAACTGAAAGCAGACTGGTCGTGGCGGGGTGCGGGTTGGGGTGGGGGTGGGGGGGGGGGGGGGGGGGAGAGAACAGTTCCCGGTTACGATTCTCCGAATCTGGACAAAACCCTCCCACAGAAAACACAAACGCGACCTACATTCCCGTCCCCTGAGCCTCCGTCAGCCGACCCGACCCACATCTGTCTCCGTCTCAGAATCCCCAGGGTGTCCAGTTTGTGTCCTCTGGTGCCTGAAGGAGATTTTTCAGGCAGATTGAGGCCAAGGAGAACAGTGTGTGTGTGTGTATGTGTGTGTGGGGGGAGAGGGAGGGAGTGCATGGCGATGAGACTGTGTGGCAGCATCTCCAATCCACCCCCACCCACCCCTGCCCTTTACAGTGAAATCCCATGAAGCGCTTTTGAGACGCTCTCCCATTGGGAAAGGAGTCCCTGTAGCGTAGTGGTGGGAGCTCTCGCCTCGCAACGACGACAACAAGTGTGTATAGCGCCTTTCGCGTCGGGAGGACGTCCCGAGGTCCTGATAATAATCCTGTGAAGCAGCGCACCGAGACGTCTGGAAGACGTGACAAGGCAGCGTATGCGAAGGCAAAGATTATTATTAACGACGTTGTTTCTTTTTTTGCTCTTTTTTCCCCCTCTTTTAATCCCAGGACCAATACGACAACATAGAACGTCACACCCAGTGGGGGCTGGATTTAGTGGAAAAGTACGTGAAGTTTGTGAAGGAACGCACAGAGATCGAACAGGCTTACGCTAAGCAGCTGAGGTGAGTGTGGCAGACACACGTAGGGGGGGTGGGGGGGGGGGGTGGCAGAGGGAGGGTCGAGAATGGGGGGCAATGAAATCTGATTGACAATGAAACACTAAAAATCCCCGCATTTTGACTCGGGGCCTTCTCACGTCTCAAAGCGCTTCACAGGATACACCGTCAAGTGTAGTGACTGTGCGTTTTGGGGGCGGAAGGCGGCGTGCCCGTGCAGACAGCCGTGGGTTGAAGCGACCGAATCGTTGTAAAATCAGATCAATTAACACAAATTTTTTTTAAAAAATTGAAACAAAGGGTCATTCTGTTGGTTGAATAGAAATCCTCATCGGTCACTTCACCCACAGTATTAACTTTACTGTCCTGTCAGCCACCAGAGCCCCCAAAACTCTTGCCACTCTCTCCCTCAATCCCTCCGCCTCGCCCCTTTCCTCCCTCCTTCCCTCCTTTCCCCTTCGACCGTGGCTACGGCCACCCTCCCTGTCCGAGCCCTGTTCAGGTGGATTGCTAAAGATCCCGCTCATACACACACTAACACACGCTCCTCCTCCCCCACACTCTCTCTCTCTCTCTCTCTCTCTCACACACAGACACACCACACACACACGCTCTGTCATACCCTCACGCTCGCTCTATCTCTATATCATGCACACACACACACACACACATGCACTGTCTCTCCGTGAGGGTTCCTCAATCTTATGACTTAAGAAAACTGGAAATGAAAGCAGTGGCTACCAGCCTGTTTGTCCGTGATTTACTGTCCCCCCCTCCCCCACAATATGTACACACATGGACACATACACACAGACACACACACACACACACACGCACACACACGCGGCGCGTGATGTCCCTCAGATGCCAATGGCTAACAATGAGCCGCTTCAAAAACTGGAACCAAATCCTTGTTTTCCTGTAATAGGATTTTCACACTAACGGAATGCCAACCATGTGATCAGCATCACACCGCCCCCTCTCTCTCCCCTCGCTCTCCCCCCCCCACCACCACTGTCTCTCTCCCCTGCCCCCATCTCTCTCTCCCCCCCCCGCCTTCCCCGCCCTCGCGATCTCTCTCTCTCTCCTCTCTTTCCCCCACTCTATCCCCTCCCTCTGTCTCTGTATGTGTTTGTGTGTATCTCTCCCCCACACCACCCCCACTCTCTTCCCCCCTCCCCACAGCGATGCACAGTAACTCCCAACATAGGCTCCAAGGGGCACAGTGTCTGCTCAGACTCTGCTCAGACTGGTTTCTATAGAGATTTATAGAGATTTAAAATTGTAATCACACTGTTTTATATACCCCAACTTCTCTCCCTATGGGAGGGGGGCAGTGCCCAGGTCTGCTCCCCCTGGTATTTCTCCTGAAATCACCCCTCCTCTCTGTCTATTCTCTCTCTCTCTCTCTGTCTATCTCTCTCTCTCTGTCTATCTCTCTCTCTCCCTCTCTCAGTCCATATGTCTCTCTGTCTCGCTCTATCTCTTTCTGTCTCTCAGTCCCTCTCTCTCTCTCCCTTTCTCTTTCAGTCCCCTTCTCTTGCTCTCTTGCTTTCTCGTTCACTCTCTCGCGCTCTCTCTCTCTCTCTCTCTCTCTCTGTTGTATTTCAAAACTGGTTGAGGTTTGAGACACACAGTTTGTGCTGTTCTCTCCCTTATCTGCTCTGGAGAAAGTGGGGTGAGGTGGGGGGTGGGAGGTGGGGAACACGAGGGACATTTCATTGTCGGACCCGTTTGGTGCAATATTGTCTGTTATTGATGATGAATCTCTCTCTCGCCCCCAAAGGAATCTGGTCAAAAGGTACAGCCCCAAGAGATTGTCCAAAGACGACCATGAATTGAGGTAAGTACCAGAGACGTGCTGTTCCCCCCCACCCCTCCCCTCTCTCTGCACAAACCCCCCCTCCCTCGCCTTCACTCCCATCATCTCCCCACCTCACCTTCCCCCCCACCCACCCGGTACTGTTGTATTCAACTGTTTGTCCAGCAATGTCTGTTGACCATCTCTCTCTCCCTGTCTCTCCCCCCCACCTCCCCTCTCTCCCTCTCTCCCTCTCTCTCTCTCCCCCCCACTCCCTCTCTCTGTCTGTGTGTGTGTGTGTGCCTCTGTCTCCCCCTCCCTCGGTGTGTCTCTCTTTCTCTCCCCCTCCCGCTCTCTCCGCTCCCTTTCTATCCCCTCCCTCTGTCTCGCTCTCGCTCCCTCCCCGTCCCACTCGCTCCCTCTCTCCCACCCTGCGCGCGTGTGTGTGTGTGTGTGTGTGAGACTACTTCTCCTCCACCCTCGCTCGCGCGCTCGCTCGCTCTCTCTCTCTCCACCACCTCCCTCTCTCTCTGCTCCAGGTTTTCCCAGTTTCGGGCCTTCACGGATATCCTGAACGAGCTGAACGACTATGCGGGTCAGCGGGAGGTCATCGCCGAAAACCTGATGCAAAACATCTGTGTTGAGTTACTGAGATTCTCCCAGGACTTAAAGCAAGAGCGAAAGGCGGTACATTGTGTGTTCATTTCCTCTCCCCCCCCCCCCCCCCCCCACACTCCCCAGCCCCCTACCCCCCGCCCCACGTTACCCTGCAACATTCGCCAGCGTAAAAGACCGCGACACTGACCCTCTCCTCCACCCCACACCCCACCCACCCACCCCCCACCTCCCACCCCAACTCAGATCAAAAAAAAATAATAATAATTCGGTCACTTCAACCCACGCTGTCGTGCACGATCGGCTGCCGCGTTCCGCCCACAAAACACACCTCCTGAGAAGCGCCTTGAGACGTCTCAAAGCCGCGATAAGGCAGGCGCCGTATCAAATGCGAGGATTATTGTGATACGCACTTTGCTTTTTTTCGATGCGCTTCACGGGACACGCTGTCGAGTGGATTGCCCGCGTGTGGGCGAAACGCAGCAGCCAACAGCACACAGCGACATCCCGCAAACGCTGGTGGATTGAGTGACCGAATTATTATTTGTTTTGAAGGGATCATTGCCCTCCGAAAAGCAATCCACCAATCGACTAACAACCGGGTTCCTATTTACTGTTCGGTAAACAGAGGCGCGTGAGTAAGGAAACTTGACCAAGGTTTTTCCCTGCCCGGCATTGGTTAAGTTAGTTGTCGTTCTTCTTAATGAGGGTTTTTTTTTTGGTGCTAAATTAACCCTTTTTCACACTGTTTCTGTCCTTCCCGCTTCAGCATCTTCAGGAAGGGAGGAAAGCCCAGCAACATCTGGACAGTAGCTTCAAACAGCTGGACAGTGTGAGTGTGGCCTCTCGAAAACTGATCGTTGCCCCGCTTTGTGGTGGGTTTGCGGGTGGGGTGGGGGGAGAGCAGCGAGGGTGGGGGTCGTGGGTGGGGAGCGAAGAGAGGGGGAAGGGATTGAAAGGAGGGGATGTTTCAGGTGGTGAGTTGTACGTGTTTCCTCTATCCCTCCCTCCGCCTCCTTCCTTCGCCATCTTCATGTCGCGCTGAAGACCTCTCTCTCCCCCCCCCCCCACCCCCCTTCGGCTCGGAGTCGCGCTCCGCCACCGTCGAGCGCTCTGGGACGCCGTCTAAAGTTATTGTCGTGGTGGTTCCCTGTCCCCTCACCCTCCCCTACCCCCACTTTCCGGGTGGTGCTAATGGCTGCCGGGATGGCTGGCTTTGTTCTCAGGCGAAGAAGAAGTTCGAGCGGGACTGCAGGGAGGCAGAGAAGGCACTGCAGAGCGCCGAGCGAGTGGACAACGACATCAACACCACCAAGGCCGACGTGGAGAAGGTGGGCACCAGACGCAGGTGGCTTCACTCGGGACCTTTAACAGTCTGCGTCCAGCAACCTCCTCCCCCCCCCTCTCCCCCCCAACACCGCCACCCCCTTCCCGGCTCGGCATCGGGTTCCCTCCGCCGCTGTCCGGCTTGAAGGGCGCTGCGTAAATGCGAGTTGTTGTTGTTGTTGTTGTTTTCGGGCACCGGCTTCCTGCGCGTTGTGATCCACCGATCGACTTAGCGACCGTGTTCCTACTCGCTGTGAGGTAAACAGAGGCGTGTGCGTGCTTGCGCGTGTCTGTGGGCGCGCGTGCATCTGCGTGCGTACGTGCGCGCGGGTGCTTATGCGTGTGCTTATGCGTGTGTGTGCGTGCGCACGCGCGCGCGGAGTAAGGAAAACGTGCCCGACGTTTCGCCCTGACCCGGCCGGGGATGGCGGTGGGGGGGAACGGACGGAACCCGGGTCCTCTCGTTGCGAGGCGAGGGGCCGTCGCCCGCTTTCCTGTCAGTGACCCCGGGGGCCATTTATGTTTTTGTTAAACGCGCAACAAAAGCCTCGAGGCGATGGAGCCAAACTGTAGCCTCCTGACCGGCTCAGCCCCGAGTGCTCCGGCCCCACACAGAGTGTTGTTACGGGCAAATCACTGTTGTCTCTCTCCCCCCTCACCCCCTCACACACACGCACGCACACACACACACACACACGCACACACATGCACACACACCTCCCCTCCTCCCGCCCGCAGGCTAAACAGCAGGCGAACCTGCGGAATCACATGGCCGACGAGAGTAAGAATGAATACGCTTCGCAGCTTCAGAAATACAACAGGGACCAGAACACGTTTTACTTCACAGAAATGCCGCAGGTCTTCGACGTGAGTTTTTTTTTGTGGGGGGGGGGGGGTTTGTTTTTCGTTTTCCCGGCGCCTTGGGGCGTCCTCCCGACGTGAAAAGGCACTTTGCGAATGTTGCTGCTGTTGTTGTAGGAGAAGAGGGGAGTGTGTGTGGGTGTGTTTTTCTCTCTCTCTCTCTCTCTCTGTGTCTGTCTGTGAGTGTGTCTGTGTGTCTCGCTCTTTTTCTGTGTCTGTGAGTGTGTGTGTGTGTGTGTCTGTCTCTCTCTCTGTATCTGTGAGTGTGTGTCTGCTTGTGTTTCTCTCAGTCTGTGTGTGTCTGTGTGTCTCTCTCAATCTACGTGTGTATATCTCTGTCTTATCTGTGTATGTGTGTGTCTCTCTCTCTATCTGTGTGTGTGTCTCTCTATCTGTGTGTGTGCGTCTATCTATCTGTGTGTGTGTCTCTCTTATCTGTGTGTCTCTCTATCTGTGTGTGTGTGTGTCTCTCTCTCTATCTGTGTGTGTGTATGTCTCTCTCTCTATCTGTGTGTGTGTCTCTCTCTCTTATCTGTGTGTGTGTGTCTCTCTCTCTATCTGTGTGTGTCTCTCTATCCTTGTGTCTGTGTCTCTCTTATCTGTGTGTGTGTCTCTTATCTGTGTGTGTGTGTCTCTCTCTCTATCTGTGTGTGTGTGTCTCTCTCTCTCTGCCCCTGTTATCTCTAGTCCTGTTACCAGCACTCAAATCCTATTATTTCTGGAAGGAGTTTGGTCATAACCGGCCCACATCAACTTGTTGTTGTACAGTGCTCACTCTCCCACCTCTCTCTCCCTCCCTCCCCGGCTCCATCTCACTCTCTCTCTCATTCCCCCACTCTCTCACTCCCCCAAACCCCTCTCTCTCTCTCTCTCTCTCTCGCTGTTACAGAAGCTGCAGGAAATGGATGGCCGGCGACTACACAAGCTGTGTGACACGTACCGGCTGT